GAGGGGAGGTCACTGAGGATTGCAAACCACTTTACCCTCTCCCCTCCAAAGCAGCAATGCGAGGCGATTGAGTACTTCATCTCGGGCCAGGCCTCCATCTCCTTCACCAGGCGGAATTCCCACATCCAAGAGCGCCGAGGATGCTCGCAGGACCAGTAGACCTTGCTACCCCGCCGATCTTCATGCCCCCTCTTCAACGCCTTGAGCACCATTTGGTTAGAACGGCGGACTCTTGCTTTCATATCCGCCTTTAACCACGGATAGCCCATGACGTGATGAGCGTCTCGGACCGGCTGTGGCCCCTGTACTCGGCGGCCATCCCTTAATGTAATAGGCCGTCCTCGGGCTCTGCTGAAGAGCTTGCATTCGGGCGCCCAATGCTCCACAGCTAAGCAAGGGTCGTCCATGAGATCGGCCAACGACTGCTTCCCTTCTGGTGTGAAGAAGTTGTCACCAAAAAACCAGTCGTAAGGTGGTTGGACTTCAACCTTGCCCACCATGGCCACTGCGTGACTCAACGGTGCTCGCCTGCCAGCGAACCTCTCTCCGAACTTGGGGATCCTCCAAGTACTCCGGGGACAGACCTCATCGCCTTCCCGGTGCGTCAACACACACGAGAGTGAGCACAGCGTGGCCCCACACACCGCTGGACACGGGTAACGGTCATGCCCCGGAATGTCTTTGCCGCATTGAGCACAGACCGCTGGGTCCCTCTCGATAGTGCACGGCTCAGCTTGGAACTCGACAGCCGTGGCGGCCCCACCACCTGTTGGTGAAGCATCTGTGACTGACACTTCTGGGTCTATTCGGGCCTTCAAATACGTGTACATGAGCGGCGACAGAAGCACCATCATGGCCACTTCATCCCAACTCTCCTGTCGGGGCACCTCCCTGTCACTCATCCGGGCTCTCTCACTGATCTCCTCGAACACACTCTCGAGGATGGAGAAGAGGGGTCTCCTGAAGCAGCATCCAAAAGTTGCCTTCCCTACGAAGTGCCTCAGCTCTGCCTCTGTCCACTTCTCTTTGGCCAGAAGGGTTGCTCCCAGAGACATCACGTCCACCATCTTCTGGACCGCCAACCCGTAGCGGCCGTCTTCCCCGTCCAATTCACCGCCCTGCAAAGCGCCTAATGTCGATGCCACCAGCCTCTTACCATCGTTGAGCGGCAGTGCCAGGTCCTCGCAAACCCGCAGGAAGCGCTTGTGCCTTTCCGACATCTCTGGACTCAAAACCTCCTGGCAGCCTTTCTTGAATTTCCTCAACTGGTCATATGAATCCAGATAGATGACCGTGAGATCTTCATCTGCCGGCAGGGGCTGAGTCTTTGCTACCTCGGACTCCACGGGGATCTCAGCCTCCTTGAAAACCAACGACCTCACAATGCTCTGCACCACAGCCACGCTGCTTACCCAGCCCATCGGCAACACCGCCATTGCTGGGTAAACCATCTTCCCTGCTACACCTCCCAGCAGCGATGCATCCACTGGCTTTTCAAAGGCCATGAACTTGTGCCAAACCGGGGGCAGCCGAAAGAGGTTGAAGCAGCTTGTGAAGTCTTCAGAATCAACCAACCAAACTTCATCCTCCTCCTGCTCCAGGAGGGTGAGTTGCCCCAGGTAGGGCAGAAGCTTGTCATCGCCATCCAGGCGGTCCTGGAACATGTTGCTTGGGATCAGGTTGCTGATGAACCTTTGGGTGCTCACCACTTTCCCATTCACCTTCTTCTCCTTCTTTACTGCACCTGCTCCATTAAGGACAGGTCTTCCCTTCTGGTCCTTGAAGACCTCCTCACACTCCACTGCCACCATCAGACCACGCTCATAGGCAGCACTAACCACCTTCTTCCATTCCTCATCGGAAGCCCTCACTTTGGACTGATGGGGCTCACTCGGCCACTCATGAACAGGCTTGAGACACGAGGTCGGGTCCAGAAGCTTCGCCTTCAACTTCTCGGGGAGGAATGATAAGGCATCCTGGACTGCCGCCTGACCCACCCCAGGCCAAGCCGCTATCACCTTGTCTGCCCTGATATCCTCCATCACGACCACAGGCTCTCCCTGGTAGTCAAAGCGCACATCAGCCAGGCGCTTCGCTGTCTGCTTGAATCGACCACACTTCAGCTTCCGCTCCTCCACATAGTCCAGAGCACGCCTCAAGTGATCAACAGTAAGCTTCTGTGCCTGAGTGAGGTCAGCCTTGACTTCCGGGTTCGACCAACCTCCATGCCCTTGCGACCTTGCAAGCAAATTCAGGGCAGTCACCATGCCCGCAACACCCTGAGCCTTCACCTCGCCGTGCGCCTGCAAGTAGGTGATCGCCGCTTGTGGGTTAATGGGCAGCAGCTCGTCGCCCCGCAACGATTTGGAGGATTTCTCCTCGAGAGGCGCTCCTTGACTTCGACCCAACTGCGCTAGGCGACTCAGCGGCGAATCCTTGCCCTCAAAAGTCCTCCACAAGCCATAGAACAACTCCACCGGCGTGCGCTCTTCAGCGAGGTAGCTCCTCAGATCACCAGGACTTGATGGCACAGGGGGCGGAGAGGGCTCCCTGGTGGCCTCTGCAGGAACTAGTCCTTCTTCTCCTTCTCCCTTTCTCCTCCTTTGCCTTTTCCTCTCTCTTTCCCTTTCCGGCCGCCCTTCTCTTGGCTTCCTTTTCCGTCCTTGCCGGCTCTCGGGTTGCTGAACCCTTTCAACTTCAGCTCCAACAGGTGCTCCCGGTTCATGAAGACCTCCTCGTCCCTCTCCAGGAGGCCGCCTGCGTCCGGACCCAGAAGTTCCAGGAATTGGGCTGCCTGCCAGTGCCCGTCGTGGCAGCTCTTCTCGATGGCCTTGAGGCGCTGCCCCAGTAGGTCCGCTGCGTGGGCTGGCAGCTTTCTGGCCAGGGAGATGTGCTCTCATCCCTAGGCGCTGTCCCAGCTGCGGCACTATCATCGTGTGGAAATAGTGCACGGCCGCTGGCGGGGTCAGCTCTCCTCGATCCGCGGGGTTCGCCCCCACAGCCCCTTGGGCTCCCTCGACCTGCATCTTCAAGAGGAGTCTTGAAGCCAGGCGGCCCGGTGTTCTCTTTGCGTACTGCATCAACTTGAGCTGGTTTGATGCCTTTGGGACTGTGGGGGCTTCGCGAAAAACTGCCTCTGACTCGCTAGAGGACTCCCCTTGGTACCTGACGATGTCACCACCCCCGAAGGGTCCACGATCACGTTGGCCCTTCTTTGCCGAGGATGACGCTTTGCCCTCAGTGCCTTCACCAAACAAGCCCTCCTCCTCTTCTTCACTGTAAGAGGAGGACTCCTCAATGTCTTTCTTCTTCTTCTTGGCAACTCGGGCCTCCTTGTCTCGCTCTTCATCTGCTCCAGCGGCCTTCCGCTTCTTCTTCTTTCCACCTCCAGGGGAGGGTGACTTCTTCTCCTTCTTTCGCTTCTTCTTTACCTCGGCGTCAGGCTCCAACTTCTTCTTGCGCTTGACCTTCTCCTTCTTTGCCTTGATGCCGCCACCTTTTGAGGTTTTCTTCTTCCCTGACAACTCTCGCTCAAGGCGTTAGACCATGTCACGTGCCTTCAGGAGCTTCGACTTGAGGCCCTCCTTCTCACGACTCCCACTGCTTTCTTCTTCCTCTTCTTCCGAAGCTTCTTCACCTGGGTCCACCCAGGGTAAAGCGCCTTTGGCCTCCTCAGCTTTGGGCTCCATGCCTTTCTTCTTCAAGAAGTCCATGAAGTGCTTGCCCATTGACTTGGCAAAGGCCCAAGAAGGCACATGGTTGTTGACCTCCTTTTGGCCCAGCACCCTGAACTTCTCTACATGGATCGAGGCTCCACGTCTGCTGACCTTGCAATCATGCGAAGAATCTTCGCAGAAGTGGTAGGCACATTTGGCAGCAAGTTTCTTGCCTGCACCTTCAGACATCCACCATTGCATATGGGCATCACTGGCCCCGAGGAACTTGGCCGTCACCCAATGCCCTTGATCATCGGTGGACAAAGCCGCTGCGATCTCCAAGATCACGGTGCCCTGTGCATGGCCTTCGTTGTCACGAATGCCGCACTCCACCAACTGCCCAGGAGCGAATCGGTGGTTGAACCATTTCTCACGATCGACACCCCCCGCCAGCCACATCCCGCTGGCGGGGGGGTGAACAGTTGCCCTTCAGCCAAACAGCTACGAAGAGTAGGGGGGACATATAGTCGTGGCTCCACTACGTAGAGGCATCACTCATTGCAATATACCAAAAGCAAAAATCTACATTTTTTTTTTAAAAAAAAGTACTTTTTCGGGTTGTTACGGCTTAGCTGGTATATATATATATATTATATATATATATATCGCCGAACTGAGAGACCTCCATTTTGGATGACCAACCACACAAAATATGATTCAACTTCCTATGGTCAAGACAGGGGCCATGTCTGGGCTGTAGGAAACTTATGGTCCTTGACTCGCAGCTTCTTTCTATAAATTTATATGATTAAGTGCAGAGTTCCCTGTCAAATGTCGGAGCGCGTCAAAAAACACCCGCTTTCACCCTAGGATTCCTGGCCCACCATGGCTCTAATGCTTTTTTGCCAAACAACCATGGTTTTACTGAGGATTTTACACAACCAGGTCAACCGTGTCACTCGTTTGACGGTGTTTTCACAGTCGAACGATTCCGGCCAGGTTTCACTTGTGCGGCTAGGTTTGCATCCAAAGACCCAAAGAACTCATGTCGGCCAATCACCCCGTCTTGCCTTCCAAATCCCCAAAGCAACTGGCATATGATTCCCGATCAGTACAAATGGGCCAGACCTGGGGTCATGGTTTCATATTATGCCCCCAAACCCCTAGGGATCCAGTCGTACCGAACCTCAGGTTCGGTACGACTGGGCCCGACCCAGGCACCTACATGTCTCAGTGTCGAACACATCACCAAACCTGACAAGGTACGACTGGATCCCTACGGAACAGCTGGTCCGGGATCGGTTGTTCAGGCAGCCCGGCAGCCCCTTCGTCCGCCAAAGGTGCCGTCAACGAGCCGCCCTCGGCATCCACGTCATCCATAAGGATGTGGAAGGTCTGCGAGGAGGAGATTCAAATCCGTAGGGACCCACAGAAGGGGAACCTTTGATTTCACCGCAGGATTGTCTCAAACAATCGAGTCGTGGATGGAATAAGTCGCCTCCCACACAAACCTTGAATTGAATGACTGAATCCTTCTGGCGGGCGAGGAATCGTTTGCTAAAAGAACACCCATGGAATGAGACCCAATCCCAAACACGACCAATGGGACTGCCATATATGCCTACATTGACCCCCAAAACCACAGCCATTTTGGCATATATGGCATACATGGAGTGTCTGTGAATATCAAACACGTCCTTCGACCTGAAGTGAAGAACAGCGGATCTTGCACTTCCCAAAACCTCCCGTCTCTGGTCTTGCGGATGTTTTCTTTTGTGCTGAACACGTGGGCGTTGTGACCTGTTTCGTCGGCTGCTCCGTGGACCCTGTGCAGTTTCTTCAAGTTGCGACCTTTGTGGACTGTCTTTTGCCGGAGATCCCTAGGAACCTAGGATCAGGTGAAGCGAACTTCCCTATAGGATTCGTGGACCACCATTGCTTTAGTTATCAAAGAACCGTTGTTTTACCAAGGACTCTTACACGGTACACTCCAACCATTCTTGTAATGGTCTTTGAAGGATAGGGTGAACTTACTTACATGGAAGGGGAGTTCAGGCGGGGTGGGGTGGGGTACGGGGTGGAGTGTGCTCACGTTCGAAACCACTTGCGCGCATCAACATGGTATATATATATATATAAATAGGTAACAACATGAACTCAGCATTGCCTTCTTTCTTCCACCCTCATGCACTTTCACGCGTAGCAATGTAGCAATGACTTTGAGACGATGTTGATTTCCAAAACGAAACAGGTTCTTCCATGTTGGCTACCAGCACCGACTTCACAGGTCACCAATTGAAACCTGTTAGGGCTTAGGGCCTAACAACCCTTCAAAGAAGACCTGTTGGAAGGTGCTGCTAATATATATATATATATATAATAGACGGGTCATTGTCATCCCGAAGAACCAGGTTAGGAGATGTGTTGTTCGACACTGGCTGTAGGTGCCTGTCAGGTCCAGTCGTACCGAGGTTCGGATCTATATCGATCCACCTCCTAATGACACCTGAGCTGTGTCGAAAACCGGGAACTGGCGCCGCACCCTTTCGCAACAGGCGATCGGCGACCTTCGCGGTCCTGTTGCGACCACCGTGAACAGCGGCCTTTGGCGGGCCGATCCCGGCACTATTTGTTCATCCCTTTTGCGGGACCTTTCGCGAAAGAAGTTAGCGTAAAGTTGGCTTACGAAAAGGAAGCTGTCACAAGCTGTCAGTACCACATCAAAGCCATCAGGTCGTAGAACCCAAAGTGTGATGGATTTTAGCCAGAGACGAGTTAATGTCAAAATCTGTGCCAAAGAAGGGGCAAAATGAAACAATTGGATGCAGGAAAAGTACTGGAGGAGGGAGCAAGGCCTGAAGGGGACAGGGTGAGCAGTGTAGCGCAGCGTCACGCTTGCGAAGGCCGAACAGTGGTCAGGCCATTCACATAGTAACCATGCTAGCGAGTGGGAGTGGAACCGAACTTTCACCTAGCTCCCAGGCGCTCCAAACAGCCCGACTGGTCCCTCAAAACCTGGGGAAATTGAGACCCCAGACCCCTCCAGAGGATTCGGGTCCGACCCCTCCATATGAGGGCCCAGGGTCGCGTCTGGGCTGTTCAAAAAAATGTTAAAAAATGCCAACGGATGTTAAAGACTCATCACTTTTCTGGGTAGTTTGTGGAGTTCCTGATAGTATGTAGACATAGATAGACTAATAGACCATGCGTGACCGTAGACGGCAAGGCATCGAATCACGTTCACCGTTCGGAGGTTTCAGTCTGCACAATCAAGGCTCCCAACTCCATCCTGCACCCCGGCACACGCGTTTACCGCAGATACTCGAACCTGCGATCGCGATCGACCGAATCCTTCGATGGGGTCCAGGCCTCAAAGCAGCGGAGCTGCTAGTTACAGCCATTCCCCGCCGGCCCCTTCAGCCGGCTGCTGCAGAGCTGCGGAGCCCCGTATGCGGCGGAGAAGCAATCACGACGGAAAATCACGACTGGTAGTGGTCGTGGTTTATATGAATCAAATCTGACAGTTTTGAGGTTTCATATGTAATGAACTCTTCCAGTCTCATGGATTATCATGGATGATCTCATGGGCTATTACTGGCTGAGTCAATGGGAGGCGGTCTCCAAACTTGGGGGAGCGTCTTGAGTCTCGAGTCTCCCTGAATCCTCATGCGATTTATGGAAAACGCACTCCAGGGAGTATATATCCATCCGGACCGCCTTCGATCACCTTTTCGAGGAGATCACTTGCTGTGAGAGGCTGCGCTCTCTAGCAGTCCGCAAAACTCCCAAGTGATTTCGGCAATGATATCAAGTATTGTATATTGTAATATATTGTAATTCATATATATATAGGGCCAACCGAAGTGGTCAAACAAAGGAATCAGGACGAATTCATCATATGCCCATATGCGGCATATCCAAGTAGATATGAAGTGTTCATTGTGAAATGCTCGTTTTTGACTCGATTCACTGGTTCCTAGAGTTCATGCAGCTACTGTACCGGGGGGCTTCCAACAAGCTCGTTCTCCTCTCGGTCTCATCCCGAAGCCATGCGATACGCTTTTCAAGCGATGCGAATCCTCATCATGCGAATCCTCGCGTCACCTGCGAATCGCTGGGATTTGCCATGCGAAACAGGACGAAACGATGCGAGTGTCTCGCCTGTCAGACTTGGAATTCGGTCGCACTTGGATTTTTGCGAACAAAGAAGCCAGTCAAATCCCGGCTCCAGTCGTACCTTCGTGTCAAATGTATTGGGGTGGGTTTGGAGGGTCCAAATACCTTCTGAGGTACTTGGAGCCCTAGGGAATAGTCAGTTCTGATTTCAAAAAAACACCCATTCCATCCATCACAGTGGTCTTTCCCCTACGCTGAATGGTTGCAAATAGAAACTCCGCCTAAACCACCGTCCATAGCTGCGCATAGCTATGGTGGCTCAGCTATTCCGCTATTCCCTTCGACCCCATCTCAAAGAAATCGGTTGACCGGATCCTCGTCACTGGTTGACCGCATCCTTTGTAAAACCATTAGTGGTCGGCATTTCAATCAATTGATGGTTGAAGTATAGGAAGCACATGTTCAAGTGGAAGTAGTATGTAAGTAGTATAGGCTATAGTATAAGCTAGGTAATCAATAGCTAGGTCTGGAACTTTCAGGACCTATGTCTCCCCCCAAAAAACAACACAATCACATCCACCACTTCGAGATCCGCCCCGTCAGCTCCTCGTCAGTTTGGACCCATTTTTTGTGACCCAAGAGAGCAGGCGCCATGTTTTTGTTCAACTTGACTCGGCCCCCCAAAAAACAAAAGCAAGCCATGGCAAGCCCCTTCTGATGATTTCATGGTCGACTTATAGCTCATCCGATTTTGATGAATGAACGTCCTTGGCTTCGGTGCCAAATAGACTTCAAAGGAATCCCAGCGATTTCGGAGGTGAAGACGGAGCTGTGCGTCACCCCCCAAAATAGGTTCAACGAATTGGACAAGTTGAGCAGTCATGGTTCCAAGTGGCTGAAATTGAGGTGTCCAACCATAATGTTGGATTGAAATGGTTTGAATTCCGAATCCCTAGGTGTCCAACCACTACTGCATTTAGTGCCATCGCGAACCCCATCGGTTCAGTACGACTGGATCCCTTTCGGGAATGGACCGACTTCCGACCGATGCACCGGAATTCGCCCCGAGATGCCCTCCCACCGACGGGACTGGGAGACCGTGACCGACGAGACATGCATCCATTTGATCCGTTTTCATGAAGTCAATGTACTGCAACTCTCGGATGTGTTTTTTTCCCCACATTGACGATCATTGATGTGGGTTTTTAATTGTTTTTTGTGTAGTGGTATCCGCTCCTCCGCCATACACATCGGATATACCCCTAAGGCTCCTGGCCCATCTCCTCAGGTTCGGTGCTTAGACCCCCCTGGCACTCACCCCAACCACCTTCGAAACACAAGTGGGCCAGGAGCCTGGATACATGAATGGCATAAAAATTGTTCATCCCACCTTCGAGATCATGTCCCAAAGGCTGTAGAGAAGCGCCACCTGATCCCGGGCGTTGATCCCCGCGGGGGCCCGCAAACGTCTGGGTCTGTCAGAACGCTGATCTTGGTTAACCCAACGTTGCTTCGTCGTGTTCTTCATGCGACTTGATTGGGGAGGCTAGAAGTTCACTATCCCTACACCTCCAGGAGGTTACCTCCTCAGAAGGTATGACTGGACCCTCCAAACTCCAAACCCAAACACCTTCTGGATTAGAATCTGAGATCGCTGAGTCGAGCCACTCAGTCACTGTAAAATCCAACCAAACCACCTCAGGTCCTTCCATATGTTCAAATAAAGTCCCGGCATTCTCTGGTAAACACTTGTTGAAGTAAAGGAAGGTCCTGCTCAAGTAGCCCAGTCTAATTAATTCGCAAACACTCCATGTAAGGAATATTTGCCATCGCTATTAGAAACAAATAAAAAACAGAAAAGGAAGAAAGGTCTCTATGTAAGACATATGCACCTGCAGGTGGTTGACCCAACATCCATGTAGGAACAGCGATCTAGTCCGGTTGTGTCTGGGTGTGTCTTCGCTTCACAGCACTTCGGATTTATGGCTTGCTGAAGTTTGGGACTGTGCTGCAAACTGATTGTGGCACAACACGTGTGTGCTTGGCCTGCAACCGCAGCAACAACAATCATGTAGAATTACCATCCAAAGTAACGTATGAACCCTGAAATCCATGATATCCATGGATTCTTGTGGCGATACAAATGAGTTGTCCAATTAACTAGCCCACACTACCTATAGGCTTCCAGACAGGGCACCCCTTGGATGGTCCAGGTATAGACCATGTAACAAAGTAGACCTCATGATCTCATGTCCGGCAAAATCTCCCCACTCGGAACATCCGGTCGCATGAACCTCACACTTCGACCGGGCTCCAAGCGAAAAACACCGGCCGGTGTCCAGCTGAAAAAGAGTCGTGTGTCCTCTCCAATAATAGCGTCCGAACGCTCCTAGTAGTAAGGCCAGGAGCCCCTAATAGCTTCTTGTTACTACTGTTGGAGAAAGTGAGGGGGTCAATGCCAGGTACCATCTACCGAGGCCCACCAAGCGGACCTTCCGACCTTCCAGCCCGGTGGTGGCCGTTCGGTGTCCACCCAATTGAAAGAGAAGAAGATGCCATTGACAAACACCTCTTGAAAGGTGGTCCTGGCACTGCTGGTACTGGTACTGGTTCTTCCCCTAAGGGTCCAGGACCATCCGAATCGGATGTCCTTTGACCCCCCGTTCGACCATTCTCTGGAAGTACGAACTCACCTCCAAGACCATCCGAAAAGGAGGTACCTGGACCCTATGGGTTCACTATAAGGGTGATATCCCCTGCCCATGAATCAACCAAGCCCTGGGAGTCCAGTCGACCATAAAAAGAAGGTCTCTATAGTAGGGGACCCAATTTAAGGCATGTCCTCCTTTACTTCATGTTACTTCCGTCGGTCAAAATATCTTCCCTATGTCGAACTGGACTTCAATCGGGCGATCGGACTGCCGAGGACCGCAGGTGCCTATCCATCCTTTCCATCATTCAAATCCCCGCGATTCACTGGGCGCCCAAAGACATAGAGCGCCCAACGGAAGGGCTGCAGCTCCTCAGACACCTGGCGGTGGAAAGGTCGCAGGTCGCAGGTGGCAGTTGCCCTCCCAGGTGTTCGACCCCCCTGGAAGAAAGAACGACCAAAACCACCTAAAACCCACTGGTTGAGGGTTTTTCACACACGTCCGGATCCCAGAGTGGGGCCCTTGTGACACTGCAATTAGGGAGAAGAAGGCCTTAATATTGTGGATTTGCGTGGTGAAGGTTGGTCATATATTTGCCTACATGGATCATCTCCCTAGGGATCCAAGTACCGTCTCAGAAGGCGATTGGAGACACTCTTATGTAGGTTTTGAGGGTCCAAGTACCTTCTGAGAAGGTACGACTGGATCCCTAGGGTCTGGTATTGCATGTGTCCTTCCCTCATGAAGGAAGAAGGCACGAGGGATCTCTAAATGCTCGAAGTGATCACGTTGAAGTTTCGAACCCTTGTCTCCTGAAGACATGCGATCGTGACCTCCTGCAATGGCCTGACTTTTTTGGTGACCTCTGTACTGGCACTAGTAAGCACCTCCAGCAAGCACTGCGGCGCCTGTAGCAAGATGGCCAACGTCAGCAACATCTGGAACAGACATCTGGAACAGCATGGAGAATCGGCATGTCTTTCCTGTTTAAGCTCTACAAGTCGACCAGCCCAGCCAGTGTCCAATGGCATTGTTCCTTCCAAAGACATACGGAGTGTATTCAGGTCGTCAGACTGAAAGAAGATCAGTCTGCTTGAAGGCCAGGCCAGGCGTTGCCAAGGAATCGGGTCCGGAGCATAGGCAACCTCTGCAAAAAAAACTTGCCCAACGCCAAATTGAAGACCCCAAAAAAGTGGACCCGTTCCATGCTCACTCCACACAGAAGATCCAGAAACCTACTGCCTGGTCGAATGCGCGCAGCTTTACAGTTCACCGACCCGTCTGCCTGAGCCCTCCTCCCAGTCGTATGCCTGAGTCTATCCAAACAAAGGATAGATGCATCTTGGCCAAAATACCGCTGCAGAAACCCTATCTTTTTGCAGACTCTTCCCTTGACACTTTGTATGCATGTCTGCCGCACGGCACGTGCCCCCATCGCCGCAGCCGATGCCACGGTGTCGGGCTCTTTGAACAATTGCAACTACCGCCACGACCCCGTCGACGGGTCACGGGGACAACGAGCAATCCAACGAACCTGATGTTCTCGGACCCTCGCCATCGTGGCCCCGACTAACCTGTGCTTCTGACCACCTGGATCCAGCCGCGCAGCAGCTCCTTGACCAAGGCCTCCTCCATACAATGCCTCCACCTTCTCTCTTCAATGAGCTGAAAGTCTGCGCCCAATCTTCGGCAAACATCACCCAAGGTACCTGGCCCCTGACCTCCAGCGATCGGGACTGTTCCAAACTTTTATTTGGCGGGGTATCCCCAATCCTCAAAAAAGGTTTGAACAGGTCTGCAGTTTTCCTTGGTAGAATCTCCACCTATAGTTCCTGGCATCGCTACTAGTAACAAAGGCATCGCTCATAGGAGCAAGGACGCTACTAGTAGCTCCTGGCCTCACTACTATAGGAACAAGGGCAACGCTATTAAGAGCAAGGAACGGTTGACTGACTTGGCCCCCACCTGGCGACGGCTCTTCGGCGGAGGCGGCGCATTGTGCCCTGAGAGCTCCTGTGCAGCGTTCGTGTCCATCCCATCCATCAAACTGAACGGTTTGCCATCCCATGAGTGGTTTGAAGTTATTCTAAGGGTCCATGTCCATGTATATATATATATATTAATTTCCAGAAGATTTCAGTCCCACTCTTGGAGACTGGTTTGAACACATCTTTGTTCCATGGTCCCAAGACGACATACACAAGTTGGACTTCACATCGTGACTCTGAGTCGAAACATTTGTTTAAAGGGCAAAACTGGCGCAAATCCTGTTGCCTCATGACCAGCAAACCGACCTCGCGCGGCACGTGCCAAACCGCCTGCCAAATGGCTGACTTCGCATCGGCCAGTAGTTCCTGGCGGTCCTGCCGCCGACACTTCGGAACCCGGACCCGATCCGTGTAGCAGTGCTTTCAAGTAGCCACGAGTAGCCATCCATCTTCAGATTTGCTGTCCAAGCAGAGTGGGTAAAGTGAAAGTAGATGATCGATAAAACAGATTCCTCAGGTTAGGAGACTTACCCATCGGGAAAATAACAAGACACCTGATCCGCAAAGCCGGGTCTAGGGATGAGCGGAGGGTCTAGCACCTCAAATGCGGTCAAAGAGGGTTAAAAGGTGTTCCATATTCAAGAGTACACTTGGATATTTAAAGATCTATTTTGTAATCTGTTAAAATGGCTACCACAAGTATGACAATATTGGTGTAAGTGAAACTGCTTTCCCGAAGTTAACTTCTCCTAAACTTAAATGTAAATTACACCATAGACCATAGCCCTCCTGGTCAAGTATTTTTAGAATATATTGGAAGGTTAACCGTTGACCTCCTGAGACCACGACCTCCAGATTGAGTGGGTATAAGTGCAACACCGTGGAGTACACTGACCACCTGATTGACCAAAGAAAGCCTGGAAAATGAGTGGAAAAGCTTTGAAAAACATTATCGCCGGCTTCTCGCAGGTACGTGCAATCTGCGTCCAGATTGCATATCGCAGCAAGCTTCAAGTGTCTTCGTTGAGCGGTGACTTCAAGAATGCCCACCGCTCCCCTGCTGCTTTCTAAATGACTACAAACAAACTTGCACGTCTGTGATTTCGACTCATCCGCGTTTGATAGCGGTTTACACACACGCACACATGGCACCCCCCTCTCCCGAACCTGGGTTTAGGTACACTCGAATGATATTTGCAGTGTGCGCGCTTTTTTGTTTTTACCCTTTTGGAAGAGTTGTTTGTCTTGGGGGTACCATGTATATCATGTAGTTGTTTGCCAAGAAGAGTCGTGAAGACTTTGTTTGAGGTTATTAGGTGTAGAAACTTTGGGATCCAAGATCTAAGAAAGCACAAAAGAGTGGGGGAGAATCTTAGATCTTAGATCAAAACATTTGGGGATGCCAATAACTTCTCAGTACCTGAATTTTGCTTGCCAGGCAAGGGTAGGGGCCAAGCAATCCTTTAACGGTTGGTCTAATTCCGATTATTATTCATTGATTCTCAACAACCATAATCCAAACTTCAAACGGACAGACTGAACAATGATTGAAGAGAAATGAAAAAAAAACAAAAACGCATCGCTACTCGTTACAGTTGTCCTTCCTTTCTCATCCAAAGCACCCCTTCAATCTTCAAGACAAGTACCGTAACCCTTTATGCGAGTTTATATTGGTCAAAAAAATGGGTAGGCGCATTCCTTTCCCATTGAGATTTGTTTTGTTGGTTTTCTCTTGAACATATTAGGTATCTGTATTAGCAACATTGCTTCCTTTGTAAAAGCTCGATCCTCATAACAACCGTTGTTTAACCAGGCGCTACAACAGTTCCAATTCTCTGTGTTTTATCCTCACAACAAATATCTTCCGTGCAAAACGCTCGAGTTGTCTTTAAAACATGAAACCCTTCCCAAACACGAGCCATGGGACTGCCATAGGACTGCCGCCCCATTGACCCCCCTGGCACCACCCTTGGCCGGAACTCTCGGCAGTCCGTCATGGCAGTCCCAGCTAGGTCGTGTCTGGGCTTTCTGTTTCTTCCTTTGGCGAGGGCTTCACCCTCAGGGATTCAGCCTCCACTCGAAGTGTGAGCCTTTGGCAATGGCCTTTCTGACAATCTGTTTCTTGAATCACTATGGATCCTGAAAGCAAACGGTCTTTCTCGATGCAAAGATGTGAAATGCTCCTGTATGAAACAAGAACTCCATACAGACTTGCCAAATGCATTTGGTGGAACATTATTCAACACTGTTAGGTCTTTAGAACAGAATAGATTCCAAAGTTTCCATGCCAAAGGAACTTAATTCGATATTGTTGACTTTGGGCAGGCAGAAAGTTGTGGTAAACACACTTGTCCTTCAATATGAGCTTCACTTCTCTATAAAGAATCCGTTTACAAATGATTACAGTTCCAAGTCCAAGCAGGAGCGTTTAAAACAACCTTCCTTAAGCATCGGTCCTTGTCATTTTTGTTTTGTTCCCCTGAAAGAAAAGAAGTCCCAAGTGCCAAAAGAAGTCCCAAGTGTTCTTTTGTTCCCAAGTCCCAATACTTCTTGTCATGTTTGTATTCGTAGTAATATATTCTTAGAGTTTTGCAGGTCTCACTGGCTTGCCCCTTGCTCAAATAGTCTTTGTTGTTCATGCTTGTAATGTAATCCTTTATTTGCAATCATGGTGTTCAAGGTTGTTGACAGTCAATCAAAAACAAACTTAGACCAAACACAAACATATTGCATGGATTTTACCTTGCATAGCAAACATAATCGTAACGGGTTACAGCATGTTACAGCAACATTACTCATCTGTTGTCTTTATGTCACATGCTGTTTAGACTGTAGATCCATTTCGAACAAATCTGTAATTATCTGGAAGAATCGGGTAAACCACCTGGAACAAATCTCTGGTTGTTTGCCCAACCATCCACCATCTGCACACAGGCTATACCTAGGTTCCGGAAGAGGAGTTTGCTGTATGGCACCATTGGCACCGAACGTGTTTGCCCATTCCGGGAGTCGATTCCCGGTCGGCGAACTCGAACCATCAGAGTCCTCCCAAAAGAAGAGCGCAGCCCATCGAGCACACATCAAGCCAAAGTAGGCTTTGCCCAGCAAAGACTCCAGCGCCTCCTGCGCTGACGGAACACGGTGCTTCGTTTCCGCGCCGGAACACGTTGAAGTAACCATGTTCTAATATTAATTGTACATGTTCAAAACGGTTCAAACAGGAATCGATACCCAATCCCTTCGGACCTGAATGCTTTAGTAAACCAAATTAAAGAACACTCCCAGTGGTGTGACAATGGTGGGACATGTTGCAACCAGATCTGGAATCCACCCCGGTGCCCATCACACGAGCGCGAAAAGACATTCGCAGGGTGGATTCGGGTCCGGAAGGAGTCCAGCTGTGGGCTCTACCATATGTCTGCCCAGACGCGACCCCTCACAGTTCGACCGGTCCCTCAACACCGATGGCTTCGGGTCCGGACCAGTCCGGATGAGGCCAAACGGCCCCGGTCCCTGGGTTCGTTGGGTCCAGACTTCGCGTCTGGGTGAACTAAGAACCTGATGGTCGAAGAACTGGAAGAATTCCTTCGAGGTCCTTCACCCTCGGGACTTGCCGGGACTTGCCTTACCCTAGGGCTCCAAGTGCCTCTTCAGATGGTATGACTGGACCCTCCGGACTCCAAACCCACCTAGGAAACACCTTCTTAGAAGACACTTGGAGCCCTAGGGTTACGTCTCCCCTTGCCGTGTTGGTCCACTCCCTGAGTTTTGGCTTGGCCGTCCGAAACGAAGCACGTTCCAACGAGGAGACCAGACGGTGGGAGCGACAGGTCTTTTTGGGTCGAAGCAGACGGAGAGGTCGAAGCAGACGGTCTGACCTCATTGACCTCTGTTTTGATTGGGGTGCTTGGAGCCATCTTTGGGGGTGGTTATTACTTTGCAAAGAGCTTCCCGAGCGATGTTGGGATGTTGGGATGTTTCAATTTGGGTAGCTCAAATAGGGAGACCGACCGCCGGCGGGCGTTCCGACCCCATAGAAAAAAGACCGCGCAACGCGAGGATTGAGAGGATTGAGAGGTCCAAACTCCTCCAGGGTCCGGGTCGACATGCCGTCGACGCCATCCCATCCTAGCTTGACGCTTAGAATTCATAAACCCTCCATGAAAAGAGGTTATTCAATTCAAACGTGGGGCCGTTATTCATCAAGAGTCTATCGATGATTCTTGGCTCATGACTTTCCACTGCGTTTGATCTTGTTAGGGGTTTAAAGCCGGCGGCGTTCTTGGGTGGATCGGAGGTCTCACAAAGCGCCTATCTCCCACCTTTGTAAAAAGAAAAAGACATGTACCCAGACGCTCATGGACCCTCCTAAGTAGGGGTCCGGGGTTTTGAGGGACCAAGAGCTGTTTGGAGCGTCTGGGTCTCGATTTTGGAGGTCCAAACACCGGATGCCGCGCTTTCCGCAAAAACGGTCCCGTGGCCGCGCGGAAACGGCGCCCAGCTCGTCCGAAAGGGGTGCCCAGCTGACCCCTAGAAGTCCAAAGACTATATTTTGACCGGCTGAAGTAAAGGAAGTTCCCTTTCAGTTCCCCTAAAGACCCCAAAAGAGTGGTCTGAGGAGGAATTTTTTGGGGGAGCTGAGTTCAATGTCTTGAATCCTTTAGTGTAAGTAACAGGAAGGGTTTTCGGAGAACAGATAGGAACAATCTCGTTGAACTCACTGCTAGGGACCATCCAATTGCCGCTCAACTAAGCGAAGGCTTCATCAGTATGTGAGGACGTGAAGACGTGAAAGTCCATGGGCTGGCTGGACAGAAGGTCTTATTTCCTGGTCCGAGATCTGTGTGAACAGTGTCGAAGCCAAGTGTCGATGGGGGCCCACGACTCAGTCCATTTCCTAGCGCCCGAGAGCCAGGTCTCCGAGTGCCAGGGTGGACTGGAGACTTTGGCCAGTCGCAGGTGACCTGTTGGAAGGTCCTGCCCAGACGCGACCCTGGACCCTCAAAAGTAGGGGCCGGACCCTCAAATTTTTTGGGGGTTTTGAGGGACCAGTCGAGCTGTGAACGGAGCGTCTGGGTGGTACATGCAGAGCGTCCTTTCTTCAGTCCAGGTCGGACTCGATTCCATCCTCCCGAACCGCACCTGACCAGTCTTGGGGATCCAGGACCAGAGCCTCAGGACGAGTCACCCCCTACTAGTGGGAGTCCAAGAAGTGAGGTCATTTCACCAGGTCCAGTAGCAAGATGCACTTAGTTTCTACGTTCGCTTCTTGTTACTACTAGTAAGGCCCTTGCTCCTAGTAGCGATGCACTTGTTCCTAGTAGCAAAATGGCCTCCAACCTAGTACCAGCACCCGAACTCGGCCAGGCTGGTCCTAACTAACAGGTCGAACTGGTGACCTGTTTGTCGTCGGGTCCTGGTAGAAAGATGTTAAATGTACTACCCTAAGGATCCGCACCCTCAAAAACAAGGGTTTTGAGGGTACAAACCCTTGTTGAAGAGGGTTCGACCCCTTCTAAGGAGGGTCCGGACTCGGATCCTTAGGGTAGGAGTCGACACGGATGGGGCTGCTTTTGAGGTCCCGACGGGCACCGGCACCGGCACCTCCGACTCCTTCCCTCGCTACCACTCCGACCTCTTCGGGGTTCCTTTCGTCGGTTCCGGCATCGCGAGCGAGCGAGCAAGCTCGGTGACTCCTGGAAGTGTGTCCTTTCTGAGTAAAACAATCCCTACCATCACCCGAACTCGGCCAGGCTGCTAGTTGAGGGGCCCGTTGGACCCTGTTGACCTGGTCGAACCATTGGTGACCTGTCGGAGGGTCCTGGTAGGGATCCAGTCGTACCGAACCTCAGAAGGTGCTTGGACCCTCAAAACCTACATAAGAGTGTCTCCAATCACCGTACCTGAGAAGGTACTTGGATCCCTAGGGAATATCGCTGGAAGTCCAAGACCCAGTTCTTCTTTAACTGGACCTGGTCCTGTAGTGTACAACCCTTGTTCGAACAGGGCACCTGGTTCGTTCGGATTTGTGCTTAAGAACCTCCAATTGCCGTGAAGTAAAGAATGTTAAGTAAAGAATGCACCCAAAGAGACCATGTGTTAAAGTCTTGGACTCTCAGGGTCTACTTCAAACCAAGAAACTGTCCTACTTTGGGACTGGAAGCGGCGAAGCCCAGGGGCGAACGCAACAACCTCAAACACCAAAACACCATTCAATTCCCCCAAGAAGGCCATGCTCACCGGAACCCGGTGTGAAGCACCAACTCCCCAAGAATCACCATACCTGGACGACGACCCGGAACTCGTACCTCCCCAAGTGAACAGGTCTATGGGGGTCATGTGTCATGTTTCGAAGCTACGAACGAAAGGTCCAGGTAGATTCTTAGTATGGCCAGGAGAGATGGACTCTTCCTCACTCTTGGCCCAGCAGGTCATCCCGTGGCGCACCGAGCTGTTTTACTGGGTTTTACACTACACCAGATGGTACTTGCCCCCCAGGACCTTATGGGTCATCCGCCCTCTCCGCCGGTGCCCCTCCTTCCCGAACCTGCGTGCGGTGCGTCGGCTGCAGGATCGGCAGGATCGACACCTGGACGGGGGGAAGTCGGAAGGCCGAGGCCGGGTCTAGGTCCTGGAGTCAAAGACATCAAAAGGAATTGGAATAACTATAGGTCACTACCAGGACCCTCCTGTCGTGGTGTCCTGGCTGGACTACCCCACACTACCGGCCGTTCGGCTTCCAGACAGGGCACCCCCTTAGAGGGTCCTGGTAGGTGCCCCTAGGGTATGGTTTTGTCGTGTTTCAAGCCCAGAGTCAAAGAGTACGGTCCTTCGGGATGACCCGGCTGTTAAATCAAGGCTATGACGGCTATGACTCGAATCCTAGGGTCAAGTCCAACACAGGAGTCCTCACCATCCACGTTGGAGGTGCATTCGCCGGAACAGCGCAGGAACCAAGTAGACGAACGCTTAAGTGTCATGAACCCGACTTGATCGAGCAAAAGGAGGTATACCTGGTATATGCCTGGAAGTCCAGTCGACCATCTTTGAAATGGGAACCATCAGGTGTAGTGTAAAACCCTTAGTAAAACAGCTCGGTGCGCCACGGGATGACTTGGTGGGCCACTTCGTACCTTCGAAAAGGGGAGACGTCCTGACCCCATAAAAACAGCTACGACTGGGGCCCCATGGAACCCGAGGTCCGAGTTCCAGGTCAACTCCAGGTCACGTCGCCATCGCGACGGCTCGACCAGAGAGGGCGGTTCTCAGGGGCCGTCCACCGGGTCGACCGAAGAGATCCCATCGACTGAAAAAAGGGACACGTCAAAACCCTATAAATCCTCACGTACTCACATACCATCACCCGAACTCGGCCAGGCTGCTAGTTGAATGAGGTCTCAATTGGTGACCTGTAGAGTCGGGTCCTAGTGTATGAACCTCATGACACCAATTAGTGGCCTTTCTGTACTTTCAGATACCGAAACCATGGCACATGACCCGATTTAGACACAGGACCCATGTTCTGAAGTACGAGTCGTACGACTCTGAGACTGCCAGGTGATCCGGACGATGAACGAGATGAACGAGTCACCATGGATCCCCTAGAAGTCCAAAGACTATATTTTGACCGGCTGAAGTAAAGGAAGTTCCCTTTCAGATCCCCTAAAGATCATTCTTTTTATAGTCTTTGACTCCCAGGGGATCCTGTGGAATGATTGTGATTGGAGTCCGAATTCCTTCCACAGGCCCCCTTTTCTAGTCCAGGATGCCTGGGATTGAGAACATCTTCCCCAGCTGTTGGGATTGACCCAGGTCGGGAAAATAGACCATGACCCCTGTTTTGACTCACAGCCGACATATTCGTTGGTGAACATGACCAAATGGAAGAAGAGCACATCCAGCGACTGTTGGTCACATCCAGTGTGTTACTCTATGTGAGCTGGTCAAGGATTGCCTTTCCAGGATCTTATGCTACAAGAAAGGTCGACTAAGGGAAGTACGGGAAGAAGAAGCAAAACAATGAACAAAGTGATTATGGCATAAATTAAGGTTGCATGTAATAAGAATTCTACATTTCACCATTTTAACTCATATAGGAGTGGTGAATTCTACTTTCAGTCTAACATAGGTGGAAACCAGGATGTATGATGGATTTCGGATCTGATCTTCTGATGTGCTTCGTCCTTGCCTAACATCAGAGGAATCAACCATATCAACAAACACAAGCACGATGTGGAAAGCTCCACATCCCCAGTCTCACTGTCCAGTGCCGGGACCCGGCCCTCTCCGACCGCCGGTCCGGTCTCCCACGGCCCACGGCTTCGCCTCATGGCGTGGAAAGCGTTGAAGAAGGGCAACGGTGCTGCAGCAACACGTCTGCGGTGCTTCAGAAAAGGGGCTGTGGTTCGGGCTTCGGTGGCGCATCCTGTCAAATTCCGAAGTGTCCCCTTTTCGGTAGGTAAGAAAGGATGAGCCAATGATGTCCTATGTCCTCTTGGAAAGATAGAGGGGTCGAGTGGGTTAAATGTGTTAACCTCGTTGAATCAACTGCAATCAATAGGATAAAAGGAATCTATCAAATGAGCTATGCGCAAGGCACGTAGGATTTGGTGGTTGTATGATGGATCTGTTTGTTTGTTTGTTTTTTTTTTCTGGCACTTAATGTCTGATGTACTGTTGCTTTCTTGACTCTTTCGTGTCATGTCATGTCTCGTACACATGTGCTGAGTCTATGAGTCTCGGGCAGCAAGGCGAAGATTGGCAGTTTGTCCAATGCCTTTGACACAACATGTCATCATGGCCCAGACACTCCATGGGACTGCCACAGGACTGCCGATCAGGCCAGGGGTGGTTTTGGGGGTCAATTGATCGGCAGTCCTATGGTAGTCCCAGACAGTTCGTGTCTGGGTAGTTGTGCTGGGATCAACTGCATAGGTCAGTGCTCATGACGCGTATCGGTAAACGGATCCTCTTGCTCTTGTCGAAGGGAGCATGCTATCGATATTTGTTCCCACAATAGGCTAGACGTGGACATTCCAAGTATTTCCAAGTGCCCCCCAGACATTGAAGTTCTTTGTTTGAACCGCTGGGTCCAGGATGGTCCAGGGACTGACTGATTAGCTGATTAGTTCGACCAACTGTAGCCCGAAAACGAAGGGATCTCGGCCCGACTGGATTCTCAGAAACAGCTTAGAGATGATCTGCTTGTTTGCTTGGACCTAGAACTGTCTAAAAAGATCTGAAAAGACCTTCGGGATGTTCCCAATGAATCCACCCTCTCCATTCAGAGAAATGGTGAGGTTTTGCATCCCAAAAGCTGAGCAGATTGGCAGCACTTGGCTCTGTGTGCCTGGCAGACTTTTTGCGGCAAACACGAACAATGGGAAGGAGCTGTTTCTGTAGTGTAAAAGTCCCTAGTAAAACAATTGTGGTTTGATAACACTGAAATAATGGTGGTTGGAAGCCTATGGAAGCCTAGCCTATTCAACCACCCGGTATCCCACCTATTGATCAACAAAGCAAGGCCGTCAAAGACCATCTGTGTGATCAGTGATGTCCTGGGAAGAACACAAGGGTCGGTTTGGTACCATGTACCTATTGGTTGTACACTTGGGGGGTGTCCCCTCCATTCATCAACCACCATTAGTAAGGAAGCAGTTCCAGCCCTATCCAGGTCCTATCCAAATTGAAACTAGGTCCTGGACCTTCAGCGTTTCATGTTCATGTGGGCATGTTGACGTTTGGGTTTGGTGAAGCCGCCGCACTGCCACTGCTGTTTTCCCCCAAGCTCGCGCGTTGAGAAACGCGTCATCCCTTTATTTGAAACTTGGCTGCATTCAGCCGGAGGGGCAAGGCTTTACAAAGCAAGCCACTTTTGGGTCCAATTCCTCTAAATCAAATGTTGCCTCAAGATACCTGGGAGCAACTAACAAGTGAGCTAACAAGTGAGGACAGCAGCCAGAGTGAGCAAGCAACCAACTTGGTCCATTTTCATGCATACCTAGATACTCTTTGCGGGCATTCCATCCCGCTTCCTTGCACCCCTTCTGGTCCTTTCCCGCGTTCTTGGCACTTGCCCAGCCGACTGAATAGACCTTGGTTGGCACGATGCGAATTGTTTTTAAATCTATTAACATCAGATGGATACTTAGCTTTGTTCATGGGTTGTTGCGATTTGATGGATTGAAACTAAAGCAAAAACCAAGGAGCGGAATGAAGCTTCTTCTTAAGTTCAGACTTCTGGCTGCATGTTGCTGGTGTTTTCTGTTTCTTCTGCACAGGCCTCTTCTGTTCTTTCTTTGGGGCACTTTTGGTCTTCGGGCTGGGTGCCTTCTGATCTTTCTTCTTGGCACCTACCGCTTTCGGTTTTGGTGCTGCTTTAACTTTTGGTGTTGCTTTCAATCCTACCAGTGCTTGTGCACGGACTGCGGCCTGTACTGTTTGGGCGGTTGAGCCATCATTGGAGGGTGGTCCCTCACCTTGGGAAAGAGACTCCACCTTTGACGTGCGATGGTCGGGCTTCTCAGGCTCCACTGGCGCATGCGGACTCGTCGCTTCACGAGCAGCTACAGGATCCGATCCAAGAACTTCCTCGGGCTCCGCCGTCTCAAGAACTTCCTCGGGCTCCGCTGTCTCTGTCTTGGCATCATCGGAAGCCACTTCCATGTCCCGACGATGTTGAAGATTGGATTTCAGCTCCCGTCGATCGATCTCACGGTTTGTGGCTTGGAGGTGGTCCAGCAACTGGTCAGGATTCCATGGCGCATAGACCAAATATTGGTCATGTTCAATTTGGTCCGGATCCACAAGCATGCGTTGATGTGGATCCATAAATTGATAGAGGTCCTCAGTGACAAACAGGCCAGCTCGACTCGCACGGAGAGAGAGAGAGAGAGAGAGAGAGAGAGAGACAAAAAAACAAAAAGAAAAAAAGGTCAACTCGGAAGACAAACTTCAGATTCAATTCAATTACAAATTCAAGTGATATCCAGATGCCTCCGGGATTGCATCGACTTCTCTCTGCGTGATTCGTGGCCCTGGACCGTCCCTGCGATCCTGACACGTAAACATCCGACTTTAGCATCTTGCACTAATAGCAGCAGCAGTAATAGACTTTATAGTCATAGCCAAACAAGGGTCACAGAAAAAGAAAAGAGCAGGTTGCGAGGAGGGAGTCACCTCCTCCAATGGTATCACCTTCTTCTCTGACCAGTCCGCGGCATTGGATCGACGGAATTTTGCACATGGCATGCCTTGTTCATCTCCAACCTTGGGAGGGATGATTGTAGTGTTGGAGATCTATTGTTCATCTTTAGTAAATGAATGCAATGAAACGCTCGATGTATCTATTTAGCAGGAAGCCCTTGGCTAATATCAACAAAAGATAAGGTGCAATAAAGCCCGCTAACTAATTTGTAACAAGTTAAGTCTATGGACCCAGACTGTACTTGGACTTGTCAACTGGTTGGTCCTGGTGCAAACAGAGCAGCTTGATCTGGCATCTCAGGATCTTCTGGAAAGTCACCTTCATTCAGAAGTTCCTCCAGACCATCGCCAAGGCCCGACAATGCCGCCTGGGAGGGTGTCAATCCAGAGAATCAGAATTCAGAATCAGAATATATATTGCTTCCAGCTTAGATCAGTCAGAAGATTCCCAACCTGGCCTCGTGGTCCTCCTCCTCTAGCCCCAATTGGTTATCAGGCCCAGGATCGGTTGGTGATGAAACTTCCTGAACATCCGTTGGGGTATCTGCGGCCGTGGGCGTGTATGTAGGTACCGAGGGTGGTCCCTCAACATCAGATGCCCTTAGTGTCACGCGGTCCGTTGTGAAAGCAACTTGTGATCAGAATTTGGAAAATGTTTTAAGTCGAAACCAAGCATCTTCCCCTCAATGGCATGAAAGAATGCCAAACCGCCAGGATTGCTCTCATACCCAGCATCTTCCAATTCATCCTGGTCAGGGCAAACCCCCAGTGGTCTACTAAGCATTAGTAGGCTTAGGCAAGTCAAAATACCCAGTCCTCTTTGCGGGCACGCTTCTTCAATGCTGATGGTCTCTTCTTCGCAGTAGCTGGCCGCTTGAGCGGAGCCATGGTGTCCGCCTCTTCATCAAGAGAATCCCACTCCCCACGTTCACCACCATCATCTGGTTCTTCATCATCCTTAGGGTCGAAGAGAGGAACGTGATCAGGATCTGTATCCTTCTTCTTGGCTTTCGCCTTGGACTTCCTCTTCGGGACCTGCTTGGGTTTCGGGTTTTCACCGGATGATTCTGAGTCACGAACTCGAGGAGGAAGCTGATGCACCGCATGGCTGCCTGCAATGGGGATTTGCAGATTGGATAGTAGGATATTTGGATGAATTTGGTATTTTTTCAATAATATCAAGTGATGCCAGAAAGCTTTAGACTTTGTGGTTGTTCAACATGTTCATGGCATTTCAATTTGATCTTTTGATCTCCTGTTGTCGATGTAGCCGCTGCAGCAGGCAATGCCGGCTCACTGCGTGATCCACTTGCTGACGCAGGTGGGCGGGGAGTAGTTCTTTGGGTCGGTGAGGGTGTGACCGCTGATGTGACCGCTGATGAGCCCCTGTTTCTTTCTGCAGCAAGAAGATCGTTCAAATTGAACGCCTTAGACGGGACATCAAAGCCCAAGAAGTCCATTTAGCAATTGCACAGTGGGCAAGCAACTCTTGACACATCTTAAAGATCCGGCAAGGATCCGGCATGCGGAGAACATTTGTGAGGGGAACCTCTTCCACATCACTATCAGTCATGGCCGTGAGTTGACCTGATTTGAGCTGGACCCCCAAAAAAGCCTGCGGCCATGAGCATCAAATTTGATGGTTTATAATGCAATGCACTGAGGGGTTTTCAATGCAAGTATAGCAAGTCTTCAATCGAAACAAGTCTTGAGACCAGTCAGCAAGTTTTTTTCCAGTAGCATGATCTCCTTTGGATTGTTGGCCAAAAAAGCCCACCAGCTCTCACAAAAATTACATAAATTCGAGTAGGGCAAATTCATTGTTTGTTGCAAATTGACAGCATGTTGGAGTGTGAGAGATGGTCGCCCTTTGCCAATTGACCCGAGCAGCTTCTCCAGGTATCACAAAAGTGCACAAACGCATTGTGGAAGCAACAAACCAACAAGTTGAAGACATTGTTTAAACATGTTGTTCACACAAGGTTGCAACTGGTTATTTGGTGTTCTTTGCATAGTTGCCCAAAGCATACAACATGTTTTTTTGTGCGAGGTGATTCCAAAGTATCCGGCGGTTTGTCGCCTCCTGCAGGTCACATCAGCCTAACTGTGGTTTCACCCAAATCCAATTCACCTTTGGTCACAATGCAAGGTCTGATGGGAGTGATCGTTTTGACTCCATCAGCATTGCTGCAATCCAACCTCGGAGCACAGAGTCACAAGATGTGGAACACATGTGGAACACTGGTGGAACACCTAACCCATCCATCGCCTGCAACGCCAGGTGAGCTCCATCGTGGTGTCATTCGCTTTCAGCTTGGGGATGTTCATGAAGCTGCCAAGATTCTTGGCCGTCACAGTCTTTTTCTTCTTTTTGCGATTGGACTCCGGCTCGTCCAACACAAACACCAGCTCCTTCACACGCTTGATGCCTCCATCCTTCAGTTCATGATGCGATATGTTCACCTTGACCTTGGCTATGGGTTGATTTATGTTAACTTTAGAATCTAAGAATATTTTGGGAAGGCATGCCTCAAGGAACCGAAACTCTATAATTACCCACAACCCCACTACAGATACCATTGAAGAAACACCCGGGGAAAGACAAAAGTCCAAATCCTGTCGAGTATGGTTTGGTTTGCCCAAGTCACTTCACCATGGTCAGCGAGGTCGGACAAAATGCTGGTGACAGTTACCGCCTTGTCAAGGTTTTCGATGGTGGAGAGGTGTGATGGCACTGTGCCTTTTTCTAGGATGATGAGATCTGACATCTGAGGAGAAAATGAGAACCATCTCCCTTCCACATTGTCCATCACCTCCACCGCATCCTCAGATTGATCTGGCTTTGGATAACTGCTGTGTTGTCAATTTCTCAGTTCTTTCAAGTTTTTTGAGCAAGCCACCTGCCCATCTCTCCACTCCCCACTTCCGAAGGACCACCTGGTCGGGGCAGCACCAACCCCCCCAATCGGATGTAGAGAGTGAATGCAGAAGCAGCCCAATCAAGAAAGATCAATTAGGCCAAGCAGCAATTCTCTTTTGTCAAAGAATTGGTTGCGACCACGACTGCAAACCACCACTTCCTGACCAGTGTCACCGCCAACCATGATATCGCACGTACTGTTGACCTGGATCTTGTGCCTCATGTTTTGGTGCCGCAGAAACACACATAGTACATTGACATAATATAGGAATATAATATTACAATTATATATGACATAAAATCCAACTGCAAATCAGGCCTGCACTGCAAACAAAGGAATACACAGTGATTTGACCAAGTTCTAGGCTAGTCACACATTGGTCAAAGTGGAAACGTGCTCGTGAGTGCAATTCTCCACCTTGATGCGCTTGCGAGGTGGCTCTTCGGCTTTGAGGTCATCATCGGCCCTGAAAAAGTTGCTTGGCATCGCGTTGAGCTTGTTGGGAAAGAGGACAACCAAGGACCAAAGAGTTTTTGAGGTGGGGCAAAAGGAAAACCAAATTATGATGAAATCTTATCACAAGCGTCTTATCATTCAGAAGGTACACACCGTCTTTATTGTACTCCTCGTTGTGTCGGGTTATGGTTTCCTCCGCACGATCCTTTGTCAAGGGGTCCTGCAACCACTTGTCCGCAAGGGAATGTAGAAGGACTAGTCTGTCACCAGACTGGGCTGCAACCTTGAAGGTTCGTGATTCTGCAGTAGGGCCCTTCTTCATTGCTTCCAGGATTGGTCGAATGTCCGGGAAACCTGGCAAGTTCATGCGGCCACTCCGCGCAGAGGTATATACCATGTTCCCCAACTTCGTTGAGATATCGCTGCCGCTGTTGTCCAGACATATTGTTCCACAGCAACATGTCTTTCCGTCAGCAAGGTCCTCTTTTCAGGCTAAAGGTTGACTCGGAAATCCAGGTAAACAAATGGGCTCAGTATGTTAACATTTTTTTCACCTTGAAGGGCGTTTAAGAGAAGTGTGATCAACAAAGCGAGTGGGAATTGAACAGGCTTGCATGGAAACTGCAATCCTATTTACTGTAAGATTCGGAGTCGGAGATTCGGAGTCGGGTTGTTTGGTCCTGTAGCATCCTGCAATACATGTTGTGACATATTGTAACTTTGTGCATCAAAAGATCTAGCCAGATTATATCCGGTCAAACGCTTCTCAGAAGATTAACGAAGTTAGAGGGACTCTCCTCTAGGGCTGATAGAGCAACGGACCCGTCGTACCCAAACATGTCTACGAGCACAGTCATCTTCGAAGTAGGGATGGCAAATCCAGATCTTGTGTGATGTACGAACTGTGTGCCTGCAGCAGCCTCCAGGGTTAGGAAATTGGTCTGAAGTGACATCCAAGTCTGGCGTTAGTTCATTTGGAGTGTATTGGATTGAAAGATATTGAAAGCACACTTGGGTGGTAGTATGTTGGACGCCCCAGCAAAAAACATGCACTCCTACATACTCTCCCCCGCACCTGCCGCAATTCCTGCACATCTGTGAAGGCTCTGCCCATGTGTGGCAACGGATTGGATGTCTTCGTTGGGGAGACCTGGAAGGCCGGCAGATCCCGGAAGTCCAACAAACGGCTTTCCAAAACTCCGATGAAAGATCGCACTTTGGAAGGGCCAGGAATCTCCAAGTGTTTCTTCACGGGTGCATGACAGGTTCCAACATAAGGACCAAACACCGTCCAAAAGGTTAATGACCACAAAAGAGAGGTCCACATTCCACATGACAATGGACACAAAATAGCCGGCCAAGGTACAGCACTTGGTTTGGACATCTCATTGCGTTGCAGCATTGGAACTGACAGGATGGTTCCGGTCTTCCATCCTTTTGTTGTGCAATGAAGGCTTTGCTTGATGCGGCTCACAATTGCCAATCCAGGCATTGTCCCATCCCGCTTTCCATACACGGTGTCCTCACTAATGAATGCAACAATCCAATTCTTATTGCAATGAGTTCAGAGCAAAAGCAAACCCCGAAAAGGCTGTTCCTTAAGGTTAAGATAGTGCTGTTTGTGCCATCTACTCTGAACTCTTTACAAATTGTAACCATTGACCCAGTGTTACTTGCCTTATCCATCACATGTCATGGTTTCATTTTAAACATGAAATTGGAGGGCCACCGCACAAAGGGAACTGGGGAAGGCAATAGAATGTTGTGCCAAAATACGCTCAGTCTCTGGATGAAACACCCATGTCACAGGCCGGACTTTCAATCCACGCTCTTTCATTGAGAACTCATTCCTAATTCAAACACACATCCAAGAAAAGTCAACAAAAAATGCCAACTGTTGCAATGGGTTAGCGCCATAGTTGAAGCTAAATGCATCAGAGAAGCTCAAGCTTGTAGCGCATGTCCCGTAGAAGGATCTCCTCGTCATCATCCTTTCCCTCATCCTTCTCAGCATCTGAATCATCTTCTTCTTTCTTGATGGATGGGTCCGGCTCCTCTTCCTTCTTGGCTGATTTCCTGTCACAGCTTTGCTCTAAGAAACCCACTGCCGCTTGCGTTTATGATAATTTCACAGCAGGTTGAGGTTACTTCTCGGTTGAAAGCAAGAAACAAAACTACGAAGCAGGCCTGGCATCTTTATGGCCAGCGCGATTTCCATGTACCACAAAGCATATTGCATTGTTCGGGTGGTCGGCGAGCACATTGGTAATGCAGTTTATGAAAAAGCTTCGTTGCGCGGCCGAGACCACCCCAGCCATGGGCAGGTTCAACATAAGCACAATGTCATAACCATCATTTGTTGAAGCGTGCTCGCTCACCATTCGTTTGATCCACTGCCGCAACTGCGGCAAAACAGTGGATTCTGCATCTGAAGACTTCCCACTGAACATGGCCAGGTTGTCCTCCAAGAACTTGGCAATGGTCTCCCAGGATCTCTTGTGAGCATCCTTCCCAAAAATATCAGAATGCCAGGACGAACAATACATATGTTCAAAAGGTTTGGAATTTATGGGCCCCCAAAATGAACAAGTCCTCCAACTGTCTCACATATGATGCCCGTGTTTTTGCTTGCTCTCTCTGTGTCCTCAGTTAAACAACTGATGGCAGCGGGGTCAATAGTGCACCGTATTTCGTTCAGGTTCAATAAAGTTTGATGAATACAGCACTGCTGCTTAGCATCGACAGTCGGTCACTGACAAATTGCGCTTGATCCGTCTTTACATCCTCCAACCAGCAGGAAAAGGCAGCTTCCATTGACTTCTGAAGCGCATTTCTGGAGGCATCTTGATGCGCGACCAGGTACTCATTGACAACCTTGCCTTCGGCCTGCAGTAATCCCAGAGTCCTTACATTAATATTTTGCTAATTACTGCCACACGCACAGACTCTGAACCAACTTGGCCTCGAGGACAAACGGCACACGCTTCCAATCAAATTCAGGATCTGCTGCTTTGAGGATTGCTTGAAGATCGCCATCTAGATGCCTGTCTTGGAGGAAAGAAGAACACAAAATATATCATTATCATGAAACATAGTAGATTGTTGATTCCCAATTTGCTATCGGGAAGCCACTGTCCAGCAAACGTGTAAATATGTTTAAAATAAAATAACACCAAAATTGCATGAAAATCAATCACATCCCGGCATACAATTTTAACATCAAATTGTGACGGGGTTTCTGGAAACCCCATCGCAAATTTAATAAGTTTTGAAGGTATCAATCAAACTTCAGAAGTTCCAAAGAACAAGCGACCCTTGATTCCCTCCCCGTTGACCAACCAAATTGCGACGGGGTTTCCAGAAATCCAATCACAATTTTAAGTTGAAATTTACTCTGAGAGTTTGATTGGTTTTTTTGGGTTTGGCGCTCAGCCAAACCCTTGGGTCAAATTGTGACGGGATTTCTGGAAATACAATGATGGATAGCCAAATGGCATTTGGCGACCAATCACTGGTAGCCAAATGGCATTTGGCGACC